TTCAGTGTGTACTGTACAGTCGTTTAGGGTGTTCTGGATCGCTAACAACAATTATGTTTGTCACTTATCTGAAATTTTGGAATTTTATTTGTTTCAAGAGAAAGATAAATTCTTCCTCTCTTTAACCAACATAAGTTTTTGCAAAAAGCTGTTAGCTTTCATTCTTGATTGTACCTTCGAGCAGCATGACCTTTTCGGTTATTTCCGGTTCAGTTTAGGCAGTTTCGGACCATATTGGGGATCTTCTCAAAACATTTTCAAAAACCTTCCCAATGGGTTACTAATCAGTAATTGTGATGTGTTTCAGAAATATTCTTTGTTTGTAAGAGCCATTGGCATTAATTATCAGAAGAACAGACAAAAAGGGTCAATTTAAGAGAACAAGATATGTTTGTAAAACATGTATGCCCCCTATCAGCAGCCAATTAGTCATGTGATAAGGTTATTATGCATGACTTCTGACCCAGTGATCAAACAATTAATAAGGGTTATCAAGTATCTACTGGTCATGACCTTAACCTTTGACCCCTTGACCCAAAACACAATAGGTGTCATCTGCTGGTCACGACCAATCATCATACAAAGTTTGAAGTTCCTAGGCCTAAGCGTTTTTAGTTAATTGATCGGAAACCGTTTTTACCTACAAGGTCAATGTGACCTTGACCTTTGACCCCTTGACCCCAAAATCAATAGGTCATCTGCTGGTCATGACCAATCACCATACCAAGTTTGAAGTTCCTAGGCCTAAGGGTTCTTTAGTTATTGATCGGAAACCGTTTTAACATACAAGGTCAATGTGACCTTGACCTTTGACCCCAAAATCAATAGGGGTCATCTGCTGGTCATGACCAATAACCATGCCAAGTTTGAAGTTCCTAGGCCGAAACGTTCTTTAGTTATTGATCAGAAACCGTTTTTACTTACAATGTCAATGTGACCTTGACCTTTGACCCCTTGATCCCAAAATCAATAGGGTAATCTGCTGGTCATGACAAATCACCATACCAAGTTTTGAAGTTCCTAGGCCTAAGCGTTCTTAAGTTATTGATCAGAAGCCGTTTTTACTTACAAGGTCAATGTGACCTTGACCTTTGACCCCTTGACCCAAAACTCAATAGGGGTCATCTGCTGGTCACGACCAATCATCATTACAAAGTTTGAAGTTCCTTGGCCTAAGCGTTTTTAGTTAATTGATCGGAAACCGTTTTTACCTACAAGGTTAATGTGACCTTGACCTTTGACCCCTTGACCCCAAAATCAATAGGTCATCTGCTGGTCATGACCAATCACCATACCAAGTTTGAAGTTCCTAGGCCTAAGGGTTCTTTAGTTATTGATTGGAAAAGCATTTTTACCTACAAGGTCAATGTGACCTTGCCCTTTGACCCCTTTACCCCAATATCAATAGGGGTCATCTGCTGGTCATGACCAATCATCATACCAAGTTTGAAGTTCCTAGGCCTAAGGGTTCTTTAGTTATTGATCGGAAACCGTTTTTACCTAAGAGGTCAATGTGACCTTGACCTTTGACCCCTTGACCCCAAAATCAATAGGGGTCATCTACTGATCATGACCAATCACCATATCAAGTTTGAAGTCCCTAGGCCTAAGGGTTCTTTCATTATTGATCAGAAACCGTTTTTACCTACAAGGTCAATGTGACCTTGACCTTTAACCCCTTAACCCCAAAATCAATAGGGGTCATCTGATGGTCATAACCAATCACCATACTAAGTTTGAAGTTCCTAGGCCTAAGGGTTCTTTTGTTATTGATCAGAAACCGTTTTTACCCAAGAGGTCAATGTGACCTTGCCCTTTGACCCCTTGACCCCAAAATCAATAGGGTCATCTACTGATCATGACCAATCACCATACCAAGTTTGAAAGTCCTAGGCCTTAAAGTTCTTTAGTTATTGATCGGAAACCGTTTTTACCTACAAGGTCAATGTGACCTTGCCCTTTGACCCTTAACCCCAAAATCAATAGGGGTCATCTGCTGGTCATAACCAATCACCATACAAGTTTGAAGTTCCTAGGCCTAAGGGTTCTTTTGTTATTGATCAGAAACCGTTTTTACCCAAGAGGTCAATGTGACCTTGACCTTTGACCCCTTGACCCCAAAATCAATAGGGGTCATCTACTGATCATGACCAATCACCATACCAAGTTTGAAGTTCTTAGGCCTTAAGGTTCTTTAGTTATTGATCGGAAACCGTTTTTGCTTACAAGGTCAATATGACCTTGACCTTTGACCCCTTGACCCCAAAATCAATAGGGGTCATCTACTGATCATGACCAATCATCATACCAAGTTTGAAGTTCTTAGGCCTTAAGGTTCTTTAGTTATTGATCGGAAACCGTTTTTGCTTACAAGGTCAATGTGACCTTGACCTTTGACCCCTTGACCCCAAAATCAATAGGGGTCATCTACTGGTCATGACCAATCACCATACCAAGTTTGAAGTTCCTAGGCCTAAGGGTTCTTTAGTTATCACTCGGAAACCATTTGGTCTACGGACCGACGGACCGACAGACCGACGGACCGACGGACCGACAAGTGCAAAGCAATATACCCCCTTTTCTTCGAAATGGGGGCATAATAATGATTAAACTATTATTATTCAGAATTATTTATTAAACAAGATGGTAACAATTGACACAGTAGCTAACAAGATTATAAAGCATGTAAACACTGATTGAGATCATAATCTTAAACAAGCAATTATCATAGTATTGCAAGCAATCCATAAGTCCCCTACCGGTAAGAGCCCAAGCAACATTTTGAAGGGCCATTCACTTATGTTCCTATTTTAAGTAAATTTGTTGAAAAAGTTCTTTAAAAGTGATCACAGGAAACAGTTTTTATGTACAGACAGACGGACTGAAAGACACTCTAAAGTTATTTTTTAAACATCCCTGTTATCAAAATATAACATTTTTAAAATCCTATCATGATTGAAGAATTATAAATTTGTCTTTTTCAAATTGAACTTTGTTTTATGAATAAATAATACTTACCTGGATAAAAAAAGGAATAATTTACTGCCACATATGTCAAGTTTCATAAACATATTTTCAGTACTTTTTGTGTTATCACTGGATCCAGGTTATGTGTAAAAATTATAAATTTGTTTTCAAATTGAAGTTTTATGAATAAATAATACTTACCTGGAATAACAGTATGAATACTCTTTTTCTGATCCGCATAATAAACTTTCTCCCGGAAGTTGATAAACTTTTCGTGAGGCGCATGCGCACTCTCGGTAAGTTATCTACTTCCTCCTCCCACAGTAAACGTCAGTTCCTTTTCTGGCGAAAGTATTCGCCCCAGGACTGAAAGAAAGAGGGGAGGTTGGGAGGGTAACTGTTATTCCAGGTAAGTATTATTTATTCATAAAACTTCAATTTGAAAACAAATTTATAATTTTTATTTCATAAATAAAAACTTACCTGGAATAACAGTATGAATAAAACCAGATTTTACAGCAATGTAAGACTGGTGGTGGGAATCTTTCATAAATAATCATATACTTCAAAAAACTAAGAAATTCATTCCTACTCACCTTAGTAGAATGAAAAGAGCATGATCTTCATCATCTGTTTCTTCCAAACATATAAATGATGAATTCCTATTGCTTCTTAACAGTCATATATACAAATGTATATTTACAAAATAGTTCTATCCCACTGTATTTACATACAAACATCATCATGTAATGGACATCTTCCTCGATGTCTTGACATCTTTCTCAATGTCTTAACATAAAAATAAACAAAATATCCTGCGATCCGCAAGAATTAAGAGAAAAGTTCCAAATGAAGTGATTACACATTCATATAATCTGTATTTATAGTCCTTAAATAGTGCCGAGTAAACGTAGTTTCTCTTGACCAATCGGCACTCTCCATTATCTGCTGAAGTGAAGCACCTTTAAACAATGCAAAGGAAGGCCCAATGCTGCGAGTAGAATGACCTTTTATTTTACCTATGTCTTTACTTTGTGACTTGTAACAAAACTTAATAATGCTAACCAACCATCTGGATATGGTCTGAGCTGAAACAGGTTTATGGGGTTTCTTTGTTGCAATGAACAACTTAACAATTTCTTGGTCAGATCCTGCATTACGAAATTTTTCTGTTCTTTTTAAATAATGAAAAAGCACTCTTTTAGGATCTAAAGTCCTGTTTTTTGGTAATGCTGGAATGAAAATATTTCTATCCGAATGATTCGGTCTATCTTGCTTTGATAAGCCAGTTCTTATAAAAGTCAATCCTTTCTTCTGGACATTAACATAGTTTTCACCTAAACGTAACGATTGCAAATCACTGCAACGCCGAAAAGTGGTAATCGCCAACAGAAAACAAACTTTCCAAGTAAGGTAACGTAAAGATGCATCCTTCAGCGGTTCAAATGGAGCTTTCTTCAATGAATCTAAAATGAAAAGAAGATCCCATTCAGGTACTAATTTTTTTAAAGGAGGACGTTCGTTGAAAACAGCTCTTAACAATCTTATAATAAAAGGATGTTGTCCGATAGGTGTATTATCAACTGGGCCCAAAATTGAAGACAACATCGATCTATAACCATTAATAGTTCTGTATTTGAGACCTTTATCAAACAAATATGTCAAAAAATCTGCACATTCCGCTAAAGTGGCAATATACGGATCAATTTGTCTTTCACAACACCAGCTATTAAATTGTTTGAATTTGCTTTGATAATCCCTACGTGTGCCAGATCTCCATGACTTAGACAGTAATTTTCTTGTGTTTCCAGAAAGGCCCTTTGACGACCAATGTCTGTTGACAACAGCCATGCAGTCAAATGAAGAGACTCTGGATAAGGGTGTGATATTCGACCCCTGCATTGAGTCAAGAGCATTTGGCTGCATGGCAGATTGATTGGATTTGCAATTAACATTTTCAGTAACTGTGGATAATGATGTTGTCTTGGCCACTGATTTGCTATTAATATTATTGTACAATGATATTTTTGCATGTGACTGAGTACTTTGGGAACAAGTTGTGCTGGTGGAAACGCATAAGCAAAGAGATTTTCCCATGGAATTGACAGAGCATCTAGGGCAAATGCTTGAGAATGGTGTATCCAAGAGCAAAACAGTGGAGTCTTTTTGTTCTGGAAAGTAGCAAACAGGTCCATCATTGGATGACCCCAAAGCTCGAACAATTTCAGAACCACTGTCTTGTTCAAGGACCACTCTGTCTGACATACTCTCTCCCTGCTCAGTGTATCCGCCAACACATTCTTCTTTCCCAAAATATGAGCAGCTTTCAGCAAAATATTGTTCTCCAGGGCCAGTTGCCAAAGGCTCATAGTCATATTGCATAATTGGGCTGATCTCGTGCCCCCCTGCCGATTGATGTATTGGCAAACAGTTGTATTGTCTGATCGGACTAGAACATTTTTGCCCTTCAGCTTTGATAGAAAATGTTTGAGACTGAACATAACTGCTAACATTTCCTGACAATTTATATGAAGCATTTTTTCTGACAAAGTCCACTGTCCTTGACATGTCAAGCTGTTCATGTGACCTCCCCAACCGTAGCCACTGGCATCTGTGGTCAGTGTTATTTGAAAGTTGTCTTTCAGTAATGATCTGCCCAAGCCAATGTTCTGATCCAATAAGAACCAATTCAGATCCTGGATCAGTTGAGGTGTTAAAGGAATTTTTGTAGACAGATTCATTCTGATAGGGCTCCAATTTTTTAATAAATGAAGTTGTATAGGTCTCATGAACAGCCTGGCATTTGGAATGAGCTCTAGACATGAGGCTATCATTCCGAGTAGGACTAAAAAATGTCTTGCAGTGCATTGACCCTTTTGAATGTTTGACACCGCTGTTTTTAATTTTTCCAGTCTTTCCATGCTTGGAAACACTAGCCCTTTTTTTAAATCCCAATAACTGCCCAGATAATTGAGAGTTTGCATTGGAACAAGTTGTGATTTTTCCTTGTTTATGATGAACCCTAAATGAAAGAGAAGACTGAGTATTTGATAACGATCTTTCAACAATAACATTTTTGTTTTGTTTACTGCTAACCAATCGTCTAGATAACTTGCTAGACGAATATTGAATTTTCTCAGATGTGCGACTACCACTGAAATTATTTTGACAAAGACTCGAGGAGCACTTGTTGGGCCAAAACATAGTGTTCGAAATTGGTAAGTTACTCCTTGAAAATGGAAGCGCAGATACTTGGGATGATTTTTGAAAATTTTTATATGGAAATAAGCATCTTTCAAATCTATTGAAAAAGCCCAGTCTTCTTTTTCTACAAGGTTTAATATTTTTGCCAAAGTGTCCATCTTGAAATGTTGTTTGCGGAGATACTTGTTGAGGGGTTTCAAATTTATCACTGGTCTCATTTCCCCGTTCTTTTTTGGAACTAAAAATAATGTGCTGTAAAAACCTGAATTTGCTAGCTTTGGATTGACAACTTCTATAGCATTTTTTTCTTAAAGAGATATTATTTCTTGTTTGATTATATTTTGACTTTTTGCAGGGACACGTGTTGATTTTATGCCTAAAAACTGAGGTTTTTCCTCGAATTCTAACTTGTAACCCTGGCTTATCACGTCTAACACCCATTTGTCTGTGGTGATTTGTTGCCAATGTGATAGGAAATGAGACAGTCTGCCCCCAACAGGTATCTCCGGATATTTTACTATTACACTTACCAAGTCATTTTTCATCTGTTTTTGCCACTGGCTTTCCTCTACCAGATGGGGGTCGTCTCGTCCCGGAGCTATAACCTCTGCCACGAAACTTTCCCCGGCTGTCAGATCTTGAGATCTTAGGGATACGAAAATTGTTCAACCCATACGAAGAAGTGCTTGGTTTTTCAGTCAATTTCTCGATCGGTTGTTTCTTGTTATACTCAGAGAAATTACCAGATGCTGATAATTTCCGTTTCTTGTTCAGATCTGGGATTAGATCATCAACTTGTTTACGTTTTTCTTTCTTGTCTTTCAACAAAGTTTCTAGTTCTTTGCCAAAAACACCATCCCCTGACAAAGGTAAATTGTAATAGTCCCATTTATCAGTTTGTTCATGCAGACCTGTATCCTTCATACAACATGATCTTCTAACAATATGATGGAAAGCACCAGTTCTTCCAATTTGGTCTAAACACTTCGTACTCATAGCAAAAATATCTTTGACCATCTGAGAAGCTTGATCTCTTTCAAAATCGGTAGAATTTAGCATTTGAAGTAGGTTACCGAGACTTTGTTGTATATACATTTGAATAACGAGTCCTAACCGAGCAGCTTGCTGCCCTTTATATGCAACTTTTTCTATCATTTTAGCTGGTTGTGTATATAACTGTTTTCCTTTAGCAAAAGAAGCCCTAGGCCCATATCTTTTAGTAAGACATACTTCTACCATATCATCCAGTGATGGCACCTCTAGCAATTTTTCAGCATCTGCATCAACTGGAAAAAGGTCGAAATTTTCCTCGGCAAAAGCAGACAAAAAGTTTGGTTGTTTACATCTATAACCACTATCAATAACCTCAATCTGTGATTTGTCCAAGGTTAAACCCTTTTTCTGTTCAACTTTTTTAACAACTGCATCTTCACCGAACATTTCAAATAAACATTTTCTTGTATTTTCAGAGAGATTTTCCACATTTTCCTCCCTATTGTTGTTTTTGTCCAACATGGCGCTATCATTATTTTCATGAGCAGGAGAAATTTGACCGCCAGCAAAAATTGACAACATGTCAGAGTCAGAATCATCTTCACTGGAGTCAAATAAAAATTTGTCACGATTTCCTTTAGAATTTGACTTTTTTCTTTGTCCATTAGTATCATCATTTAACTGATTTGTCACAGTTTGTTCATTTTTTTCACCGGATTGTTTATCTAAAAAAGTTTGCAACATTTTTTCCAAATTACACATTCTGTTGCTCAATTCGTCGTATTTTTTCGAACGACTTTTCTTTTTGCCTTTGTCTTTAGTCAATAGCAATTTATTAGCAGTATTTTCTTCTGCCGACACGTAAGAAACGGTGTCATTTCTACCCGATAAATCTCCACGTGTTGGCGACGACATATTTTCGTCATGAGGCTCGTCAGAAAATCTGTCGTTTTCAGACGTAATTTCACCCTCTTCTGAATGATGACACGTCGCCATAAGACAAAACTGGATAAATCTCAAGTAGAAAAACTAATTTCCACTGAAGAAACTATTCAAAACTAAAAATTAAACGCGGACGAAGCGAATACTTTCGCAAGAAAAAGAGAACTGACGTTTACTGTGGGAGGAGGAAGTAGATAACTTACCGAGAGTGCGCATGCGCCTCACGAAAAGTTTATCAACTTCCAGGAGAAAGTTTATTATGCGGATCAGAAAAAGAGTATTCATACTGTTATTCCAGGTAAGTTTTTATTTATGAAATAAAATTTGCCATATTTTCAGTCTATTTGTTGCCATAGCAACCAGAATATTCAACATAGGAAGAAAAGAAAAAGACGTGCATAATCTCCATACTGCCATCTATCCATATAACAAATTTCATAAAAATATTTTCAGTACTTTTTGCGTTATCGCGGGATCCAGGTTATGTGTAAAATTTGCCATATTTTCAGTCTATTTGTTGCCATAGCAACCAGAATTTTCAACATAGGACGAAAAGAAAAAGACGTGCATAATCTCCATACTGCCATCTATCCATATATCAAGTTTCATTAAAATATTTTCAGTACTTTTTGCGTTATCGCGGGATCCAGTTTTGTGGACGGACGGACGGACTGACGGACGGACGGACGGACAGACGGACGGAGGGTAAACCTAAAGTCCCCTCCGATAAACCGGTAGGGGACTAATAATTGGTTTAACAGGGTAATCACAGTTAATCAAAGAATAATCAAATAGACAACATACAAAATGACTAGATTATAAAGCATGTAAACACTGATTGAGATCATAATCTTAAATAATTGGTTTAACATGGTTATCACAGTTAATCAAAGAATAATCAAATAGACAACATACAAAATGACTAGATTTTAAAGCATGTAAACACTGATTGAGATCATGATCTTAAATAATTGGTTGAACAGGGCAATCACAGTAAATCAAAGAATAATCAAATAGACAACATACAAAAGGACTAGAAAAGTACACATTATATAATTATAATGTTCAGATCAATGTCACAGAGTGTGCTCAAAACTGATATATCTACATGTACAAATAACTACATACATGACACTTTCATAACTGAACCTTCTGCCATTTTTTCCAAAGTAGAGCTCAACAAGGAAAGGTTATATTCGAATTTGCTTGGTGTACTTGTAATATAATAGGAGCAAGGGATAACTGCTCCACCACCTTTGTCCTCAGGTGCTGGCCAGGGAGGAAAGCTCTGACAGGGTTCACCAGTAGCAACAGCATACACACTGCCATCTTCGTCTAGCACAGTCCTGAAAAACCCTGCTAACACTCTGGGTGCATGTCCAATAGGCAAACCAGCAATATCTGATAATTTTAAGTGCCTCTGGTGGTCTGTAATCACGTCATGCAGTTTTTCATCGAACTCCTCAAGTTCTGGCAACCATACTAGACAGGCATCTCGATCAACAATGTTAGTGTACTCTCTGTCCACCCTAAGTTTAGTTGGTGGATCTGTAATTGGTGGTTTGATTTGGTATGCATGGTATCCCTTAACAACACTATTTTCCAGCACAATAGTTTTTAACAAAGCAAGATCACTTGCTTCTCAAGGGCCTTGAACTGGTTCATTGGTTTTTGCCTGAAAATAGTCAATACAGTATACAGAATAATGGAATTGCTAGGAAAGCTGTTTTTCTACCTAAAATAATAAGGTTGGTTTCATTTGTATGCCGTTTTCAACAGTGTTTCAGCAGTCATACATAATAATATAACCATGACTCAATAATACAGTGCAAACAGTGCAGTGTGGCCTATCGGGTTGGCTTATCAATCAATCCTTTCAATGACAAAAACTCTCTAAATGAACTGTACCATTTGTCTGTCTTCTCTTTTGTAAGTTTAGCTCTACAAGTTTCCAGTGGGGTTTCAGTTCTCATTTCAACGATGTGACTATTACGCCTCATGAATGCATAGTACCAGTCATATCCAGGCCTATTATTTGCAAATGGTGTTTGTTTCTTTTCATTGGTGACTAATTTCTGAACAAAGTCCAAAAAATCTCCCGGCTTTAACCCCATGCCTCGACTGGCCATTTCTTTCAGCCAATGTGCCATCGCCTCTTCTTCAGTTTTAGTGAAAATCGGCTGTGGACCATTTCGACTATCTAATTCAACCTCTCCAGAAAGACGCCTATGTAAATAACCATAAGATAAGCCATACAGTTCTGATGCTTTCCTGATAGTCACAGTTACCTCTTTTTTTTCTATGGCCAGAATTGCTCTCTTGCACCGGAGTGATTTCCCAAGTGAGCCCCTGTTGTACTTCTTTTTAACTGCGTTTGCTTTTTTGACAGCTGGACTCTGATGTTTTGGTTTCCCCATTTCTGAAAATAAATTACATATTTAAGTGCAACTGATGTTATTTGAAATTGCTTTTAATTTCACCATACAACAGGAAATAAAAAATGAAACACATAAATATATTTTGCATGAATAACTCTGTCAGTCTGTTAAATAAAGTTGTAATTTAAATACATTCAGATAACATTCTAACAAAAAATCACATTTCAAACAAATAAATCCTCAATAAATCAGCTATAATTCAGGAAAAATATCCCAATTATCAAAACAGTAACACGTTTTAATTTACAACATTATTAAACATCAATTGTGACTTGAAATCAGCTGTTTTGACAGTCCAAAGTGCTTTTGAGAACACCCCCAGTATGGAAGGTCACGTGATCCGAAACTAGCCGAACGACTGCTTTCATTTCACGGCATGTGACTATTGTCAAGAACAGGTGATGGTATTTTCGCTTATTTTGATTGACAGAGGACATGTTTGTGAACATTTTGGTATATAAACATGATGTATTGGTTCAATATTTACCGATTCACGAGGCCCTGTTCACAGAATCGCCATTTTTTTCCCGTACTTTTTCTGGAGTAAATGTGAAGGTCACTTGTCATCAGTAAAAAAATCATGTCATGAAAATCGCTTTTGGTAAATAAATAACCGACAATTTCTCCAGAAAAGACCATTCTTTCAAAATCAAACAACCATTTCAAGAAATATTTACCACATGTTTAACAATTTTATTAGATTACTGACAGTGGTCCCGAACTAACTAAGATCCGGAACACCCTAAACGACTGTATCAGACTTCCCGAAAGTTAAAAAAACTGTCAGACATTCGGTCTGACAAACCATGAAAATCTGTCGGACCGAAACGAAATCTGTCAGACCAAATAAAACTGATCAAAATCAAAGAAAAACTTGTGTTTGTATTTCTAAGACACTTTTTGTTTTTAATTTTTTCGCCGTAAAAATGGGCACATTCCGTACAGTGCATTTTCATCTCCTCCCTATCATACACCAACGATTCATGGTCCTGCTTCCATTTTTCATTAAATTTTGTCTCAGGTCTATTCTTTTCATCCTTTTGCTGTTCTGCGCGCTCCTCTGACTTAGATTTTCGTTTTTTCCCAGGTTTGGCAGCTTTAGCGACGCCATTTTGTATACATGCGGCTTGGATAAAAGCCGGACATTCGGACCGATCCGGAATAAAAAATCGTCGGACCTGATCAAAATTTATCGGACATGTCCGTCGGACCGACGTATTTCGGGAAGTCTGCTGTATAGATCTATCTAAATGTTCAAGAGATCAATTGATAATGAATCATTAATTAAAGAATTTATATTCATAATTGTTTGTGTAATCAATCAAGCAAAATAGATCTAGGGTAATGTCGTCATATTTCGGACACTTTTTGCATTCTGCGACCAATTTCATTCGTCTAGCTGCGAATATGTATTTAACCGTCTGTAGCCTATTTAGCCGGGAACTATGCTATGTAAGGATTTTATACTGGCTCCCAGCTGCAAATTACATGTTTGATTTATTTAGAAAATTCACAAATTGTTAATCGAGTAAAATCGGGGAAATACGAACAGAAGCGGGGAATTTCGGACACATTTTCATTTTTTTAAAAAGTAACATTATCGTCGCCAGAAGAGACTTAAACATATTTTATTTCTTTTTTGACATATGTATCAGTTCATTTCACTTAAGGCACAACATTAAAGTGATTCTTTTTTAACAGTTTCTGTTAAATTCAACAAGTAACAATCATTAACTTCTAGGGCATATGAGTGTGCCACCCAAACAATGCTTTGGTCCTCTTCACAAATGTCACATAAAATCTTGTACCGTTCATATAACATTCTTAATGTACAAATATTGGAGCAGACGAAGTCTCTAAGATAAACAAATATATCGTCAATCAGCGGATGGTCGTAAAGGTATTCACAATTGACCATAGTGTCTAGTATTGCTTTCATTTTCATATACAATGATAAACTTCCAAAAAGTTCTCTATCTCCAGTGATTTTCTTACTTGTATAACAGACTCCGAAAAAAGGCCTCTTCCCAATTGAAATTTTCTTTAAAATCATGCAGTTTTCCCAAAAATCTGAACTTAAACCAGCTTTTTTACTTCCCAAATTAGCAATTTTAGCGATAATTTTTCCCAAAATCAAGAGGCTCAGGCCTCTTCCCAATTAAGTGAGAAAAATCACTGATCTCTCAGGTGAGCAGCGGTTGACGTGTTCATATTTACTGTAAATAGACAAAAAACATAATATAATTTCAATGCGTAAGTGAGAACTTTAAATATATTCATTTTGAATAGATTATTTTACAGTTTGTCTCCTGATCGTTGCTTTGTTTGTAATGTATATTGATATGTATTTTCTAATCTTAAAATGTTTGAAAATGTCGATCGAAGAATATCAGGTAAGCAGCAGTTGGCGTGTTCATATTTTCTTTAAATAAACACTCACAAAAATTCAGAATATAATTTAAAATGTATAAGTAAGAGCTTTTTAAAAAAGAATAACATAACTGAATATTAAACAGAATTATTTGGAATAGATTAGTTTACGTTTTTTTTCCTGATCGTAGCGTTGTTTTTATTGTATATTGTTATGTAATTTTCAATCTTAGAATGTTAGAAAATGTCGAAGAATAATGTGCAAAAACTGATTCTGTAATAAAATAAACCCACCTTTAAATTAACATTGATCTTTTTTTAAATCCTGAATAAATTTCACGGCCTTTTTTACCTCTCTCGCATGGCGACGTTGCTCTTTTAATTGCAAGATGTTTTCTTTATCAAGCTGCTTCTGCCTCTTTTCAGCCAATACTTCATTGGACGTGAGAAGCCTGTGCGAAGTACTAACGGTACTTTTCCTCTTTCTTTCATTTACATTAACATTTTGTGGGACATTAAATATGGAATCAATGTCAACATTCCAATTGCACTGTGGCAAAGGAGCAAGTGCATTCAACTCATCATTCTGGGATTGATTTTCATTGGGCAAATAATTTTCACTACAAAAATCCCCACCAGAAAGTTTTATATCTTCAATAATAATCTCGGGAAATAGAGGAAGAATGTACGAAATTTCTTGATCAGTGGCTTCATGAAGTTCTACGGCTTCATTAGGGTAGTCCGAGTAAAATTTTGGAGTAAGGATAGATATATTGCTCGTAGATGATATGGATGGTACAATCTGTGTTGCACAGGGGGTAGGCATTTCATACTGTTGGTCAGGCAAGGGTTCATAAGGGATAGACGTACTTGATGAAGCTAGGTTCAGTGTAGTATTAACTTCTGATACGCCAACATAATTCTCTTCAAGCGCAGTCGAAGTCATTGTAGACAGGGCACTAGACAACTTTTGGGGACAGGTACCCATACCCTCAGGAAGGGGAATTTTGCGTCATTTTAAGACAAAAAGGGGAATTTTAAGCCATATATGAGTTCTTTAAATTAAGGTTTTACACTAACTCTTGGCACAATTTCCTACCATTACTTACAATAGCTAGTATATTTATTACTATAGACCTAACAAATAAAACATATCACATGAAGTTTTTCTTGAGATAGGCTATCTCATTATTTTCTTTATTGCTTTGTTATTGTACTTGACTGACTCAGACATCAATCAGAGCTCCAGATATATGTTTTGGCCAAGGGTTTTATACCCCTCAAATTCTAAAGTGAGAGGTGAAGTGCAAATTCTGAAAAACGTTAGGGTTATATTAAAATCTATAACAAGCATAAAGCATTTTTGTTTATGATAAAAAATTAAAACTGACAGTTGTTTTTGTTGCTGTTGTTTTTTAAAAAAAAACTTGTACAACAAAAATTGAATCAGTGCAACAAGCTCTGGAAAGGCAGACTTTCCTAGGCAAGGGTATGTTGTACCCAAGTGATGGAAACACAGGAAAATTATTTCCTATTATAGTCATTAATTGTTTCTTTATTTTTAAAGTTAAAAATGTATCACACTATTTTGCAATCTGCACTGGTCAGTTCTTAATCTATTTTCTAAATATTTCTGCCTGTTCTTTAGATTGAAACAATTATAACAATGAGAATTGAAATAAGAATTAATAAAAATAAACAAGAAAGTTTTATGCCTTTTCTAAAAAAGGGTTTGGTTTCAGAGAAAATTGTCTGTAACTGTAAAACTGGGTACGAAAATATTTGAGTACAAAACTGCAAGAGAAATAAGTTTTTTCCAACAACAACTGACAGAAATTAAAATAGTTTTGTTTATTAAATAGCAGAATATGACAATGTATGTCTATTCTCTAAACAAATTGAATATAAGGTAAACTCCTACGATGATTATCTGCCACATTAATTTTGTCAATAATTTTACGAGAGTTACCTCCCTTCTACATTTCTCACTTCCTGCAACTTTCGGTTTTAACATACAGCGTTATTGACAACTGTAATTTAGTTTTCAATCCATTGAAAGTTAAACAGAAATATATTTTATTTTTATGAAATGAAAACATCACTTTTTTGTTGAATATCAAACATTTATACTACAATTTTTTTAGGGGAATTTTCTGCTGAAATAGGGGAAAAAAGCATATGATTTTAAGAGGGGAATGGGGCCGATATTCGGCCCCAAAAATGGCCAAACGAGTGCCCTGGTAGAGGTGGGTGTAACTGATGAGGTGATGGCATGCAAAGGCTTGTCAAACATAGTCGATGGTAACAAATCCTCTGTACGTAAAGCACGTGGATTGAAGGGGTATATACCACATGATGAAAATCCGCTAGTTATATTTTTTTCAGTCATGGCACGTTCCCAAGCCCGTGCAATGATCTCAGGGAATTACCATTTATTTATAGTGTGATGAGGACTAGCTGAGAGAAATTCAGTACAACCTTCGTTGTAATATGCACTAAAAGGGCCAAACACACTCTTGTCAAGTGGCTGAAGTTTGTGAGTAGTATGGGGAGGGAGAGCCAGAATTTCAATATTGTTATCTTTGGCAATTTCCAGGAGTGCATGTGCTTCATGTGACAATGACCATCACAAATCAATAATTGGGGTCTAGCACTGCCGCAGAAGGGAAGAAATATTTCTTCAAACCAGTCCTTACATATAGTTTCTGTCATCCATGCATTCTCTTGGAAGGCCCATTTAGTCCCTTGGGGCGCTGCAGCCGTGTTCCATGAATATAGTGACCGTTGGGTCTTACCTTTCACGATCATAAAGAGGAGGCATAGCTTGACCACTTGCACTTACGCATGCCAGGATGGTGGTGTTGGTCCTTTGATTACTAGTACGACCCGGCAAATTTTTCACCCCCTTTCTTGCAACTACACGGACTGGGTTGTGCTCAAATTGTTTGCCTGTCTCGTCCATGTTCCATATTTGAGATGGCTTATTCTCAATTCCAAGACTGATAAGGAGTTTACCAAGATCATCTATATATCGGTTAACAATAGTTGGATTAAGGCACCTGGCTCAAGATGTACCCAACTTCTCTGGCTTACGGATTACAATAGATGGATGTCTTCTCTTAAGACCTTGGAAATAACCTTTGCCTGGTATTCCATTTTTGAATGGAGTTTTGAGACCCATTTTTTGGCATAATCAGCCTGTTTTTATCAAGAAATCTCGCCTTGGACGACCAGATTTAGCATCAGAGGCAACCTTCCCTGTTAATCTGTCACTTAATGTTGATTTTGGTATCCCATAATGTTGTGACGCTTTA